TTTCAAGGTATGTTCCATGATCACCATCTCTATGCGCAACCATACCTTATAACCATAAGTGATCTAGGGATTTTATCTTAAGTGCAATTATAAGATAAATGCTTTCTCTTAAGATAAAGAAATGCCTTATTCATAATATAATTCCAATAGACTGTATTTACAAGTAGAATACGTCCAATTAGATTGGAACGCCGGGTACCCTACTCTAACAGACGGGTCCCACTCACCCATCTCGCGATACACCTGCTGACCGCTACTAGGAAATGAGTGTTCTTCAATAAATTCTGGTTCACTCTCCCCGTTAATTGATCTATCCGATTCCGTTTCCGAGGTATCATCTGTGAAATCGTCTTCACCAAGAATGAAATCATCATCACTTTCTTCCTCATTATTGCATTCTCTAACTGTTGATCTTGTCCCTTCGCCAAAATTACGAACATGCGAAGTGGACGTACCCTCATCAGCCACTCCCCCGTAAAAAGAGGCAACATCCTCAAACTGCGTAACCTATGTAGGTGCCTGCGTAACCTGCTTTAACTCTAAATGCAAATACACATAGGAGAAAGGAGGAAAATAATATATCCACTGAAGAGCACTATCAGCATTCAGGTTTCCAATATTCCACGAACCATCAGGTTGGTTAGTCAGTAAACTAATCTCCTCAATTATCCAACCATTTCGACGAAACTCAAAATTTTCATAAAGCATATCTACCAATTGTTCAAATGATATCTTCTCCCTAATGCTAAATGAACCATCCGGAGAGTTTTTAAAATATGAAAAATCAAATAACAACTCCTTGGAATGATTCCAATATACATTAACAAAGTATGGTCCGATAAACGCCATTTATACCTGTTGCAAAAAACACTTTCAATTCTTCCCAATTACAACAACACATACTTTCTAACCCAACACCCAAAAAATTCAATTATTCTTTAATCATTCCCACAACCAAAAATAAAATTCAAATTTTTTTTACTAAAATTAAATTTTCAATTAATACTACAACATTAAAAATAAAATCACAAATTCTTTTATCAAATAATCCTCAAAAACCCTAATACTCATAATCCATCAATAACATATAATACACTTTCAATTCTTCTCAATTACAACAACACATAATTTCCCAAAAAATTCAATTATTCTTTTATCATCCCCAACAAAAAAAAAAATTAAAAATTCAATGATTTTTTTACTCAAATCAAGATAAATATTTTCAATTACTACTACAATAACAAAAAAAAATCACCAATTCTTTTATAAAATTACTCTCCAAAACACTACTTCTCATAATCCAAACATACAATACAAATCATCCAATTTTCGGAAAAATTCTCAACATACACCAAAACCCATCATCCAAGAACAATGCATAATCATTTAACACAACTATTAAATCGATAATAAATCTTTTCTAAACTATACTCATCAAAACCAACACTGTTTTGTTCGCGCAGAGTGGTGGAGGAGAAGATTTTTTCGTACTTATATTTTGTTAAAAACTGTATTTTTCAAATACGTTTTTATTTTTTTTTATTATATTATGAAACCGTATTTCTGAAATACATGTAAAAAACATAAATTGATTTAGGGTTAATAGAAAACGTATTTCAATAATACGTTTTATTTTAATTTAAATTTTTCTTAAAAATTAATTAATAGTTTATTTACGGTAAAAACCGTATTAATGAAATACGTTTTATAAAACCTAAATTGATTTAGAGTGTTTATAAAACGTATTTCAGTTATACATTTTACTCAAATTTCATTATAGTAAATTGAATTAGGGTTTAACATTAATTTATGGCTTTGGGTTTTAAATTGATTTGAGGTTTTCAAGAAAACGTATTTCTTAAATACGGTTTTAAATTAAAATTAGATATATAATTTTCAATAATATATTTTTTAAATAATTAAACAAATTTAATTTGAACACCTATTCAAAGAATACGTTTTATTAAAAAATTATATTAATAAAACATATTTTGTAAATACATGTTTTTTATTTCGGTTATTCCATTTTTTTCGTTTTTTTTTTCCACTTATTTTTCAATTTTTTTTTTTAATAAATCACCCTACAGAACACGGCTGGAGAAGAAAACACATAATCATCTCCTCCGCAGTCCACACTTCCGGCTCTCAGTAACATCTCCGATTTTCAGACGGCAATCGGCGGCCAGCGTGACGAACTTGGTGCCTCAATACACGCTCCAAAGAGGTAAGTCCTTCCTTCCCAATCGTCCAATTTCAATTGCCCAAACCCTAAATCCGTAATCCCTTAGTATGTATTTTGTTATATTGGTATGGAAGCTATGATTTTAGATTCTAAAGGATTAGAGAGGCTCTAATTAGTTGTTGTTATGCCACAAATTTGATATCCCTTTGCTGAATATTGATTTTCTTTAATCGCTTTGCTGGAATTTCCAAATGTGTGCTAGAAGTTTTTATAGTTTTTTGTGCTTTAAATGATTGAAAGGTATTGTAAGGGCTCTGTTTTTCTGCGCATTGTTTTGTTCTGTGTATAAATAAATTGTTCGATTTTCAAATTTGATTCTTGGCTGATTTGTTACCTTTTTATCTGATTCTAGAAAGAAATGTGGTGAGAGAATGATGAATTCTCCGTTATGTATAAGAATTTCATACGAAATGTTATGAGCGGCGTTTAAATTCATGAAATTCTGATGTCGTCGAGCATTTATTTTCCCAAGGAATATTGAGATTATCATTCAAGGATCTGAACTTCGTTATGTGTAGAAGACATTATTTGATTATATCTCTGTAGGTTTATTCCTTTTTTTTTGCTTTCAACATATTCTGAGTTTGTTCTCATTTCTGTTTCATTGATGGAGAAAATTTTTGTTTCAATAAAGTTTAACTCTTGTAGGATAAATTTAGAACAAACTCAGAATATAAGTTAAGGGAGAAAGTACAATTAAGGAACAGAATTGTTTGTTTGTTATTATCAAGAATTTTTTCTATCCCTAGCTATTAGCTAATACTACTACTTTGTCAACTCAAGCACATTCCATTATCCACCAACCAACTATATAGATTAGGGAGTATATCTTATATAGTAAATACTAGTATAACATGTAATTGTACTGGCATTGAACCTCGTATATCCTTTAAACTTGGGAGCTGCCACAGCTGCGGCCAGACAACGCTATTCTCATAACACTTTCCGCCGTCGGCGCTATGGGAGAAGCTACAACGTACACTCTGCCGGAAACCGTCCGTTCGATCGTGTTTAAAGAATCCGAGAGGTTGGATGGCGCCTACCCCAAAATCGAGGGCTACGATTTCAACAAGGGCGTCAATTACGACGAGCTTTTCAAGTCCTTCGTTCGAACTGGATTTCAGGCCTCCAACCTTGGCGATGCGTTTCAGATAGTTAATGAAATGGTTTGTTCTCTCTCAACTGGGTTGTTATCTCTAGCCAATTATAAGAAAGAAATAGCGTACTCATCGTTATGAAATTCATAAGTGGAATGATTTAACATGTGTTTGCAATAAACTTGCCCTGGCCCGAAGGAGGGCTTAGTTTTTGTGTTAAAAGTTTTAAATCTGTTGATTGTTCAGGCGATAAGAAAGGGACCAGGATGTAGAAATGTTGAATGGAACCTGTAGCTGGGCCTTAATTTGGAAATTTGGAGAAATACCATATTGTCTCTGTTACAAAAATGCCACTTTTGTCAATACAACCAAAAAAAATTATGGAAACCAACTGTTATTACTACTGAAAGAGTATTCTTTGCAAAGAGGAAGTGAAAAGGACATTGTAGGACATTTGTTTTATGAACTATGACATTCTGGGGTATTGCCATGCCGAAAACCTTAATTTTCTATTGCTCATATTTTATTAACTTTGATTTGCTCTTTCGTTTTGTACTAATCCAAGGACTGTCGAGCTCATTACATGCATTATTAGTTAATAGGCCTTTAATATGTTTTGGTTCCACTACTGTTATACTGTGGATGAAGCTAGATTGGAGGCTCTCGGATGAGACCCCTGCAGAAGATTGCAGTGAAGAGGAGAGAGATGCGGCTTATCGAAAGTCTGTGAAGTGTAAAGTGTTTCTTGGCTTTACTTCTAATCTCATCTCCTCTGGTGTTCGTGAGCATATCTGTTATCTTGTTGAGCATCGCATGGTGAGTAGCTCTAGAAACCAATTTGTTTGATTTTTAGAAAATTTAAGGTAAAATGATGTATTCAAGGACTGCTGTTATTTCAACTCTATGTTACCAACATGTATTTACTGGTTTTAATACTGCTTGTATTACATGGAATTGAAGTGGAAGATGCCGAAGCTAGAATAAGGATTGTGAACATATAGATGAAGGAACCCCTGTTTCTGTGATATTTAATCTCGTATTTTATTTTTTGTTAATTATTTTTACTCAAACATTTTGAAAAATTAATGAACAACTTTTGATTTATTTGTTCATTCATATGATATTCTTATTTAAATTTCAGATAAACGCTTAACATGGTTGATTTAAGCTGTGATTTTGAGAGAGATCGCGTGAAGCAGGACATAAATCATAAAGAGTGTATTGAAGAATAAATAATAGTTAAGCAACTAAGAGAAGGAGTATAAATCTATTTGGGATGATTTTGGGATTGGGATTGATTGTCTTTTGAAGTTCTTGTTTCCTTGCTTCTGTTATTGTTTATTAACTTTTATAATTATGCCTGTTTAATATAAAAATAAAGTCTCTAGTAGATGAAGGTTGGCAAAATAGAATTAGATTGTAATAGGTTTGACTATTGGGCTAGATTAGTTCTTCCTAGGCAAAACTATTCTGCTTGGAAGCTTTAAAGTTTTTGGTTACTATTTATCTATAATAAAATTTCATATTTCATTCTCTCGACTCTTTACTCCTATTAGATAGATTTCCTGATATAAAAAAAAAAAGAAAAAGGTTCGGCTCAAATTGTTTGACATGCCTGCAGGTTGATGTAGTGGTAACAACGGCTGGTGGTGTAGAGGAGGACCTTGTGAAGTGTCTTGCACCTACCTACAGAGGTGATTTTTCTCTGCCTGGTGGTGTTCTTAGGTCGAAAGGTCTGAACCGCATTGGTAACTTGTTGGTTCCTAATGACAATTACTGTAAGTTTGAGGATTGGATAATCCCAATTTTTGATCAGATGTTAGAGGAGCAAAAGTCACAGGTATTCAATCTTATTTGGTATGATATTTCACTTGATTTTTTATTTGGATAATTAAGTACTTAATTTCGATGTTAGTTGACCTATAACATTGCAATTTATATCTTCTCAAATTAGTATGGATGAGATTATTAAATCTTGCTGTGAAAAAAAGATCACACTTTTTAGTTCTGGTCTAGTATCTGAAAAGTAAAATTTGTTAAGTCGAGTAACCTAGTGACCATATATCATGCAGTTTGTGTATGCCCTTGATGGATAGTGATGCAGTTTTGTGCTATGAGTACTTATAATGCTACTCAGTATAATTGTATCCTGAATGTCGTGAAAATGTACTAGCTTGATCCCTAATGTCCAAGAACCAACCCTCGGCATATTGTTTATGAACTCTTCACCCTCATTACACGAAGGAATAGATAATAGTATGCTTTGATCTCAGGCAATGTGTTTGTTCAATTGATTATTTGATATGTTTCTAGCCCCACGCTGACACAGTCATTGCATCACATATGAATCCCATTTGTAGTGAAACTAAACTGCTCATGATGGTTATATTGCATGACCTCTTTCCTTGAGTGTGTGTGTGTGTGTGTGTATGTTTTGTTCTGCTGGCAAATTTCGTTGGATGTAGTTCTGAAGAGATGATCCTCCCTGATCTACACTTTTGTTTCCCATTTATGGATTTTCAGACATTTTTACTTATAAATCCACATAAATTGTTTAGGCTTTGCTGTATATATTCCTTCAACTGAAGGAGTTCAACTTGGATTCTTGTCTTATTTCTTTAAGTTTATGTTGCAGAATTTACTATGGACACCATCTAAAGTAATTGCTCGCCTGGGGAAAGAAATCAATAATAAGAGTTCATACCTGTACTGGGCATTCAAGGTACATGTTATAGCTCAAATTTTCATGTAGTTCTGATCACTTTGTACATCTCACTTTACAGTAACAAGCCTCAGCGATGCCAATTTAGTTGAAGGTTTTATTTGAAATTAGAATATTCAACCACTTAGGTCATTTGTTTCTTATACTCCCTGATTTTTTATTATCAAAGGAATATTTTTTAATATAAATAAAAGGTTTCGTTTTACTTTACCCATTTGTTGTTGTTGTTGTTGTTGTTGTTTTTTTTTTTTTTTTTTTTTTTTTTTTGAAGCCGTGTCATGGGGAAAAATTCGAGCTTCTGCTAAGACTGTCAAGGTTATTTATTTACTTATTTAGCATAATTGCTGTTATTTTTCTTGCTAAATTCATTGCTTTTGGTTATTTTATCCAAGCAGGTGCATTGTGATGCAACCATTGCATTCCCTTTGCTGGTTGCACAAACATTTGCTGTGAAGATAGAGAAAAATACGTGGACGAGTTCTTGATTGAAATTTTGAGGGGGATTATTCGGGCAATGAAAACGGCTTTACTGGAGTAGTGTGTTATTGGCTTGTGCACTAAATTTATTTTGAGTTATTGTAAGTTTGTAACGTGTTGGATTTATATAAACAATGTACTGTTGAAAAAGATTATTAATGAGTGCACATATGGTACTAGTGAATAGTTGTATTCTCTATTGCAATAGCTGACAAGTATAAATCTTATAAAATTCAAAGGTCGAATTTGGCTTCGTAGCCTAAAAAAAGCTAACAATTGATAAGAAGTTTTCTAAATTTTATCAAAATTCGACCGTTGGATTTTCATAAGATTTACGCGTTATAAAATTTGTTCTTTAAACTTTCAAATGACACATTCCAATCGAAAATCGGATATCTTGATTATCAAAAACTTGAATTGAATTTTTTTCTATAACATACGTACTCCTGCTATCTTTGTGGATCGATTTTAGAGGTATCAATTTTCAGAAATCGACAAATCATACTTCATTTTGTTCGTCTCTTCATGGGCTTTAAAAGTCCTAAATCAATTTTAAAGATTAATTTAAAATTTATCATTAATTGAATTAAAAACTCTTTTGTGTCATATTAGGGTTTTTAATAAGTTGTCAGTTTCGATGGATATATGCCCTTCAAAGCCTTCTTGAGATGGCAACTTTTTTATTAGTTTTTCTGAGTTATTACGCAGCCCGTAGAGCCCTAACCACAGAATTTCACCAGCAGGATAAACTATTTTTTTCTACAATTTTCAGCAAATAGAACTGTGACAATATGCAACTCTCTTCAGTCTTCAGTAACATGATAAAACATCACGGTACAACACCTTTATTTCTTTATGCAACCACAACCATAATTCAAGAAAAAACTCAAACTAAGTAAGGGCTCAACCAAAATTCAAGAAAAACTGAAACTAATTAATGGCTTAAAATTGAAAGAAAAAAAAAAAGAAACAGAAATGAAAGCGAATTGAAACGAGACACCCTTCTTTAGTAGACGAACTCGTGATTGGGACCATGTGTGGTTGAATTTTAGAACAAAAATCATTAGACACGATTAATGCAATATTCATCCTTCAAATTCAGCAAACCAGATAATTACCACCAGTTATCATGTTAATCATCTCATCTCTAAGTTTTATTAGGTAAATAACATTTTATCAATATGTTAGATAAAACAAGTTGCATGTTCTGTTGTTTTGCGCTTAGATAGAATGAGTCGTCATCAGGCGAACAGAAGATCATTCTATCAGTTACTTGCGAAACAATAATTGTGATTCACAACCTAGATGGAAATGAACACCCCATCCGAGTTACTTGCGAAACAATAATTGTGATTCACAACCTAGATGGAAATGAACACCCCATCCGAACGGTTGTAGTGTCAACGACAGTTGGCCTTGACTGATTAGTTGCACTAGTACATATATATATTGAACAGGTCCCAGAGAGGAGAAGTTTGTTTTATACTAATCGTCGTAAACGAACTAGGCCTCGGTTAATTACAGCGTTCTCTTAACCCGTAAGATATTAAACAGGCATATAAATGCAGTGCATATTACTTTGATTCACTTGGGTGAGGTTCAGTTGCTGGATTAATATTCCTACTGTTTTGGGTAATATTGTTGTATGTAGGATGTGCTGTTAGGATATATACGGTCACCGTGTGCGTTAGTTTGATGATGTCCCCGGAGTGAATTCATGAAGGATTGTTATGCTAAACCCTGTAGGTGGATTAAGTTTCGGCATAATAATAATGTTATGAACGAGCGCTAGCTTCGGTGAAATAATAATATATTAATTAATTCTTGATTTTCAGTAATCGAATTAATTAATGAACATTATATCTTAAAAGTACGTACCCCGTGCGATAGAGATATTAAATGAGTTATTTTCACAGTCTTGTCCCGTTTAAGTCTAAAAAATAATAGGGTTATTATAAGTTTTTTCCACATCTTTTAACCAGCATTGTTTTTTAGCTAGAACATTAAATATGAGCATGTTAGGGTTAGCTTGTAAAATAATTAATATATTATCTCAGTAAAATATTTATACTAATAAAAATTTAACTTTAGCATATAAATTTGTCCCTTGATATAAGAGAAAATAACACTTTTACTTATTATTGTTCACCATATAATATTTAATTATTATTTTATTATATAATAAAAAGGAATTCTGTTAAATAGTGTAGTAGAATTGTTATAAAATTATATGAATTATTTTTTTTACAATATGGATTTAATATCTTTTTATGATTTGATAATATAAACAAATCGATACTTACCTTTGACTTTTCCAATAAAGGTAAAAAAAATCGGTTCTGATTTTTATCCCATAATAAATCTTTAATGTCAAGACTATAAATACCAAAACAAATATGTAATTAATGTCATTCTATTTTCAGCAAACATTAATTACCTTTTATTTTTCTGCCTACTATTTCTAGTAAATAGGATGCCTTTTTATATAAATATAGATGTGGGGAGGTAAATCGAGTAATTATAATTGGAGTCTCAAATGTAATTTGGGCTAGGAAAAAGGGAGTGCAATAATATTATATTGGTGGCTCATAATATTATTTAATTAATTGGAGGAGTGAGTTTGACTCATAGTTAGTCCAATTAATTAAGGAGCCCTATTCCTAATCTCCTAAAGGTCCCTACTGTAACTCTATATATACATCATTAAACTCACGAGAAGAGAATAGATCTGCTAGACTCGTGTGAAATACACGGTGCCTCTCTCTCTCTCTCTCCCAGTTTTCATTCGAACTTTATCTTCTTCTTGTTGCTCCACTGGTACAAGTTGAAGAGATGTTTGAGTAATACAGTAGAAGATACATAGGTAATCGAGACCCGGTGATCTTCCACAACAGTCGACGACCCACGACTCGGAGGCCGAGGATCGCCGACCCGACGACCCACCGGAGAGCCGCCGTGAACGAGCCGATCGCAACCGCGACACACAGCCACCCGATCGCAAGGACGCGACACGGCCAGCGAGCCTGACAACCACACGACCCGATACGATCACGACGAGCCGACCCCATTTTCTGTTCGTGTGATCCAGTTCCGTTTGTGTGCTGTTCCCAGTCATCCCGAATCCATCAGATTCAGAAATTTTTAAGCCGTAAGATTTCTACGTCAAACCTTTAGATCCGCTGCGCATAAGTTTACGTTTGCTATTGAATTCGTAACTTGTATATAAAGAGACGCTCATAGATGCCAACAAATTCAACATGATTTATGAAGATTTTAGATCTATGAACCTCAGCAAAAACTTTTAAATCTCGATTTTTGAACCATATCAAACAACCTCCAAAAATCTCCAAATTTAATACACTAACCTTAGAAATATATTTAAGATGTTTGGGCAAAATATCGTAGCAATATCAGATGTATAACTTGTTCAACATGAAATGGTCATTTTAGATCTAGATCTACAATTTTAGTTCACATAGCAAACGAACTCCAAAAATTCTCAAATTTAAACCACATTATCTACACAATATTCTAAGATTTATGGAATTTAAATCAATATTTTTGGACATGCATAGCTCAAGATATGATTTTAGCATAATAAAGGCAATAAATCTAGATCTCTCATTCTAGCACCATTATTCTTGATTTTATATTTTTAAAATACTTTAAAATTCATGTCTAAGACATAGGAGAGAGGATTTATAGATATACCTCTTGAGGGACTTAAAAAAGAAAAAGGAAGATGAAGGTGGCTTGGCTTGCTTGGCGCGGGCTGGATCTGGCGCTGCAGGGAGTGGAGGCGCGCGGATCTGTTGGGAGCTGGGGGCCTGGACGCTGGGAGCTGCTGTGCGCTGGTGCCTGGGAGCTGCGGGTGTTGGTGCCTGGGACGCGCACGCTGCAGCTGCTGTGGACTTGGGACGCACGTGGTGGAGCTGGGAGCGTGGCTGGGAGCTCGGACTAGGGCTGTTGCGGCTGGGAGCTCGTCTAAGGGTGTGCGGCTAGGGCTCGCCAGGAAAGGCACTCGGTTCTTGAAGGGCCGAAATTTTGTGTGGCTAAGGGAGATGATTTTTAGGACTTAGGATTATTTTGTGCTTAGGAATTTGTCGCGCCCCAGTTGAACGTTAGAAGACATCTCATATATTTATTTTACTTCTAAGCTCGACAAGTCCTTCGGATTTATTAGACGTTAGTGTCTATTTAATCCGATTAAGAAAAATAATTTATTAGACGGTAGTGTCTATTTAATTTATTCGAATTATCGAATCTTCGTTAGCAATTTGATTTTATTCGATTTATTTTAGTAGCCATTTTTAGCCTGATTTCGGTTTCGTCAATTTTAATCTTATCGATTTTTTAGAATTTATCGAGACCAATTATTAGCAAAACTTTTCCGCCTTTATAAGCGTATTATCGGCCCTTTTATCTATTTTGGCCTTTAAGCTCTTGATTTTCGGCCCAAATTGCGAGAAAACTTTCGGCCCAAATTTTGTAAGAGATTGGCCCAATATTTCTCTCCATCAACCGACCATAGCAGGTTCTTTTTTTTTTTTTCCAAACGATAGAAATTTCATTAATAACCAAAAATGTACATCCAGAAACGGCCCAAAAGCCGAAAAGACAGCTCACAAGCCGAATCTAGTGAGAGGACGAATCCAAAGGATCGCCTAGAACCAACCAACACAAGAACAACCAAACAAAAGACCTAACAAACTCCTCAAAAAGAGAAAGAACTCTCAGAGTCTCTTTTTCTCGAGCAAACCCTTTAGCCCTAAATCGCAACCATCAATCGCCTTCATCCTTCCCCTCAGCCGCGCGACTCCATCTCCGCCAGCAGCGGGCTGCCGTGTCAAGCAGCAGGGTTCGTCTGGTCGTCTGATCCTTCGTCAGTCCTCCCCATCGCTCTCGTTTTTAGTCGCACCATAACCTGTGCAAGAAAAATAGAAAAAGGCTTCAAAATAGTGGACCAAATACGTGAACCAAACACAAAGAAAAAAGTAACACAAAAAAA